GGGAGGGAGGTGCCACCTATAAAACATCGTATAGAGGCCAAACCTCTCAATTCTTGATGACCACTAATTCTCATGCTGCCCCATTATAATTAAGTCTATGGGGATTATTTCACTTTCATTTCTCTCCAGAGTAATGCCCAACAATCTCTGAGTCCAAGAACTTGTTGAATTAGTCATGGGTCTTTCCTGACAGGAGAATTATCTTCATAAAGATTTTAGCTCTGGTGTTTGGCAGAATTCTCCAGGGGAGACTTTTGGCAGACACAGGGAGTCAAGATGCAGTTAACTCCTCAAATTGACCTGGAATGCCTAAATGGTCAGAACTTGGCTTTAGGCAAAAATTGACAATGGAGAATTTCAGACTTTGGACTTCCCTCCCCTCAGGGCTGTCAAAGTGTGCTACCCTGTGGAAAATAAGGGCTGAGTGCAAATACAACTGTATTTCTGCCTTCCAAGGTCACCCACTAAAAGCAATCCCTTTTCCATCTCCTTTCCCCAACTTTTCCCCCTACCAAGCTCCTCTTTATGGTACAGAAGGGTTGAGGATTTGGGACCTAAGAATTCTCTGTCTTTAATCCTATACCATTTCAGACAAATGGTTGGCCAATCTCTTCTTAAAAACCTCCAATGATAGAACAATCACAACTTCTGAAGGGAGGCTTTTCCATTTGTACATTGTTCCGTCAGGAATTTTCTTCTTATTTCTACTTGGTTCCTTCCTTGATTAGTTTCCCTCCATTGTTTTTTGTTCTGCCTTCTGGTGTTTTGGAGAATATGTTGATCCCCCTCTTCTTTGTGGCAGCCCCTTAGATAACAGAAAAACAGAATTGGGAGGGACCTTAAAGGTCTTCTAGTCCAACCCACTGCTCAGGCAGAAAACCTGAGACAAATGGTTTTCTTAAAAACTTCCAGTGTTGGAGCATTCACAACTTCTGTAGGCAATATTGTTCCACTGATTAATTGTTCTAACTATCAGCAAATTCCTCCTTAGTTCTAGGTTGCCTTTCCCCTTGATTAGTTTCCATCCATTGCTTCTTATCCTGCCTTCAGATGCTTTGGAGAACATCTTGACTCCTTGTTCTTTGTGGAGAACATCTTGACTCCTTGTTCTTTGTAGAACACTGCTATCATGTCACTCCTAGTCCTTTTAATTAAACTAGCAATGCCCAGTTCTTGCAACCGTTCTTCATATGTTTTCTACAGAGGGATGATTGAGAGTATCCTGTCATACAGCATCACAGTATGGTTTAGAAGCATCACTGCTTCAGAAAGAAAGGCGGTGTAGAGAGTGGTGAGGATGGCTGAAAGGATCATTGGCAGTTCCCTCCCTTCCATCCAGGACATAGCACATAACCATTGCTTGAGCAGGGTCTGCAAGTTTGTCTGTTTTTGAGCCAGGTTTCACTTAAACTGTACTTGTACCTTTGGTTTTTTTCTACCTAAGTGTAAAATCTTGCTTTTCTCCACTTTAAATTTCATTTTGTTGGATAGGCCCAAGTCTATCCAGATCTGTCAAGATCTTTTTGGATTCCGAGCTTGCCTTCTGGGGTGTTGGCTATTCCTGCCAACTTAGTGTCATCTGCAAATTTGATGAGTTCCCCTTCTATTCCCTCATTTAAGTCATTTATGAAGATATTAGAGTACTGAGCCTAAGATGGAACCATGTGGCACCCCCTGCTTACTTTCCTCCAGGTAGATGTAGTACCATTAAATATTACTTTTGAGCATGGTTTATTATCCAGTTACAAATCCATCTGGTGGTGATGCTGTGTATCCCACATGTTTCTAGCTTACAAAGAAGTAGGTTATGGTCTACTTTGCTGAATGCTTTGCTAAAGTTTAAGTATACTATGTCGACAGCATTTCGTTGGTCTATTAATTTAGTCACTTTGTCTAAGAATGAAATAAGATTGGTTTGATGTGATCTGTTTTTAACAAAACCATGCTAACTTTTAGTTATAACTTTATTTGTTTCTAGATGTTCGCAGATCAGTTTTTTGATTATCTTCTCCAGTATCTTCTGTTCTGTTTTCTGCTTGGTTCAGCATTGAAGAGGCAGCAATAGAAACAAGTACTTATTTATTGAATGTCAAAACAGAAATGAACAAGCATTTTTTCCACCCCTATTTATACATTCAGCTTTGGGTGGCATCAGCCAATGAGAGTACAGTATTCTCCCGCTCAAATGCATACTAATGGTCTTGCAGACAGCAAGTCTGGCTGGCAGGCCACGTGGTCTGCTAACAGTTCCTGCACAGCTCTCAGTAACCTGTTTCATAAATTCAACTCAATACATTACACTGCTCCCCCCTGGCTCTTTGACACTTACAAAGCATTGTTTGTTGTTCAAAGATTACACACATTCAAAGGGCACAATGACACTCAGTGGTACATAAACCTGACATTACACTGTTCAGTATCAAGAATACTTAAGCATTTCAGTTTGTAAGAAAACACATAAGCATTCAAAATTCAAAGAAAGATACATAAGCATTTAAGTTTACACTAAAAATACATAAGCATTTTAAGTTTGCAATGACAAAAACCTTATGTAGTCCTTTAAATATTTCGGTGGGCCTTTCGCCCACTCCGAATGTCTCAAAGCTGCTGCTAGCTCCTGATCTCCAAGCTCGCCTGCCAGGCTTGGCAGACTGGGGCTGTGTGACCCATCTGACACGGGTAGAGCCGATTCGTGAAGGCTGCCCTGTTCCGGTAGACCCAAGCCTTTGTCCATTTCCCTATGGCCGGTCTGTTCCAGTAGGCCTGAGCCAGAGTTCTGTGGTAGAGTAGAATCCACCGGATCAGCGTGAAAAGCTGATTGAGAGCAATTTCCCGTGGGCGCAGTGCCTGAGGTGGGAGCAGCCTCATTGGCAAAAACCCCATTTGGCGATCGCAAGGTCCCGCTTTTGCTGAGATACTCAGATGCACGATCGCAATTATGTTCCTCCTCCCTCCCAAGAGCAGAGTCAGGAGTGGAAGAGTGGCGTGGTGACCTCCAATGCAGCTGGTCAACGTGCCTGAGGAGCACACGACCATCTTCCAGGGCTAATTCGTATGAGAGCGGCCCTGACACCTTGCAAACCACAGCTACCACCCACAGTGCCCCTTGTCCATAGTTGCGTGCCTAAACTGGATCACCCACTTGCAAGTGTTTTGGTGCCTTAGGCTGCTGCACTTGTGAAGCAACCCTGTCTGATCCAGCTTTGATCCAGCTTTGTAATCAATCAGCGCCCCCATCTTAATTCAGCTGGGCTTTTACCCATAGAAGTACAGGGCATTGTGCATTGGCAGTGTCAGAAATCTGCCAAGCTGTGGTGCCAATTGCCATTGGTAATCCTCTTCAAGGATTCTTTGGTTGTTCTAACCATGCGGTCCGCTTGGCCGTTAGAGGCCGGGTGAAAAGGAGCCGAAGTGGCATGCCTAATCATATTCGCCCTTAAGAAGGACTGAAACTCTGCAGAAGTAAATTGAGCCCCATTGTCTGAGACTATGACATCTGGGAGCCCATGCGTTGCAAAGATGCTGTGCAGAACCTGAATGGTCCTGGCAGTAGTCATAGTGGACACTGGAACGACCTCTAGCCACTTGGAGTGACTGTCCACAACAATGAGGAAGAGTTGCCCCTGAAAGGGGCTAGCAAAATCAATATGAATCCTCGACCAAGGGGCTCCCATCTATGTACAGGAGCATGTGGGATTTTGGCCTTGACTGCTGGCAAATGAGGCACCTATGGACCTGGGCCTCGATATCTTTATCGAGCCCAGGCCACCAAAGGTAGCTACGGGCGAGTGCCTTCATCCAGACTATTCCCGGATGTCCCTCATGCAAAGAATCAAGGATTCTAGTCCTCAGTGAGGTCGGGATTACTACCCTACTGCCCCACAAAATACAACCCTTATAGGTGGATAACTCATGCTTCCTTTTCCAGATACTCTGAAAGTTTGGGCCAGGACACGTTTCCAGCCATCCTGTGAGCACATGCAGCTCAGCGTGATGTCTGAAGCTGTTTCAGCAGCAACATCCCCTGTGTTAAGGGGAGACTCCAGCAAATCCTGGATAGCCAGGATGTGGTTGACTGGAGCAGGATCTGACTCTAATAGCTGTAGAGGCAACCTACTAAAGCCGTCTGCGTGGCCCATTTCTTTACCCGGTTTTTGAACCAGACAATAATCATAAGCAGATAAGAATATTGACCACCTCAACATTCTAGGAGAGATAATCTGGGGTGTCTGCTTGTTCATAGTGAACAACCCCAGAAGCGGCTTGTGGTCAGTGAAGACCGTGAAGTGGCGGCCATACAAAAAGTCATGAAACTTTTTAATGCCCACCACAATGGCCAATGCTTCCCTATCTATTTGTGCGTAATTGTGTTCTGCAGCAAAAAGAGTCCTGGAGTAATAGGCTATAGGGACTTGTGTCCCATCAGCACTGAGATGACTTAACACCACTCCAATCCCATATGGGGATGCATCACATGTGATGCTGACTGGCAACTGCTCATTGAAATGAGCCAACACCGCATTTGATGACAACAACACTTTAACTGCTGCAAAACTCCTCTCGTGGACACTCGTCCACTTCCATGGGTCCTTCTTGTCCAAGAGCCAGTGTAACAGCTCTGCCACTGTGGCCTTGTGGGGGAGGAAAGCATGATAGAAATTAAGGAGTCCCAGGAAGGCCTGAAGCTCTCCCTTCATCTTGGGACTGGGTGCCTGCTGAATTGCTTTGAGCTTGGATTCAGCTGGATGAATGCCTTCAGCATCTATATGAAATCCCAGGAATTCTGTGGATGTGGCTCCAATTTTGCATTTCTCCTGTTTGAGCTTCAGCCCCGCTTTGCAAGAAGGCCCGGAGCCTGTCAGTGAGGTTTTCGACTGATTCCCCAGCTATAAGGACATCATTGAAATATGGGCATACATCGGAATGTTGTGGAGCATGCGCTCCATTGCGCTGTGAAAAATGCCTGGGGCTACATTAACCCAGAATTGTAACCAACGCACCTTGAAGGCTCCCCGGTGGGTTAAAATGGTTTGGGCCTCCACTGTAGTGTCGTCCACCGGCAGCTGCTGATAGACCTGGGCCAAATCTAATTTGGCGAAAATGCGATCTCCCTGTAGAGATGCCAAAATGTGGCTGACTACAGGCACCGGATAGGAGTGCTGCTGGAGAGCTTTGTTTAATGTGAATTTATAGTCAGCATAAATGCGGACTTTTCCATTGGCCTTAAGTGGCACGACAATGGGAGTTTCCCATGGACTGCTATCTACCAGCTCTAAAATGCCTTGTTGCAACAGCTTGTCCAGGTTTGCATTGATTCTCTGCTTTAGGGCAAAAGGCACCTGACTTGGCTTAATCCTTATCGGTGCTATTGAAGGATCTAACTGTAGTGCAATTGGAGGCCCTTTGTATGCCCCTAACTCTGAGGTGAAGACATCAGCAAACTCTTTACACACCGCCAAGAGTCTCGACATTTGCAAGCTATTTAACCCAGCCACTTGAATTCCCAAAGCATCAAACCAATTGAGTCCAATTTGGCTAGTGTGGTTGCCCTCAACAACTATGACTTCCAAGGGATCGTCAAAATTCCTGAACTGCACCCCAAGTGTGGCCTCTCCCTTGATGTTTACCTAGGAATTTTGGAAGTTGGTTAAAATGAGGTTCGACGGCCTGAGCTTAACTCATTTGTCGCTTCGACTACAAATCTGCTGAAATGTCCTTTGGGAGATTATCGATAGAGCTGAACCCATGTCTAACTCCATGTTAGAAGGAATCCCTTGCAATTTGACCTTGAGGTGTAACTTCTCCTTGAGTGGGTGATGGGTGCCTGTCCTAAACATGCTCCTTCTACTTGTGCAAAAACCCATGATGTTTTGACTGGGGACCCCGGTACCTTTCTGAGGAAACTCTTCTGATGAATGTTCTTTCCTGCGACCCAAACAAACGCTGGCAATGTGGCTTTGCTTGCCACATGCCCAGCAAGTTGCTGTGCGGAACCAGTAGTCAGCCCGTTTGTGATGGCCTCCACACCCAATGCAATGAGAGAAAGAAACTGCCTTGTCAGGTTGCCATTGAGGCCTTCTTTCTAGAGGTTGTTGCAACCGATCGACTTCATGGTCTGATTTGGAGTCTTCAACTCTCTCGGCATCCTCTTGGTGGATGGCCTCTGTGCAAGGAGGGTTTTGGAGAGCCACAAGGCCTTAACAGCTCCACTTGCTGCTTCTTCGGTGTTATCTCCCTCAACACGTCTTGAAATGCGATAGTCTCTTTAGCAAAGATCTTCTGTTGCAGTTCTTGGCTCCTTAGACCACAAACTAAGTGGTCCAGCAGCCTTTCTTCAAGATCTTTGAATTCACATTGCCGTGCAGCTTGGCGAAGAGCGGCTATGAAGTTGGTGGTGGACTCGCTGAGACACTGGTCTCGCTGTTTGAAGGCATGTCGCCAAGCGATGACCGAAAGTTGGGCTCAAAATGTTCTTTGAGCATCTTCTTAAGTTCTGCGTACACAATGGACTCAAGTAGCACTGGTGCAACCAAGTTCTCTGCGATGTTGAATGTTGCTTGACTGCAAACACACAGCAGTGTCGCAGCCTTCAATCTGTTGTCTCGAACTTGGTTAACTCGCAGGTAGTTTTCAACTCTCGCGACGTATGAGCTCCACCTCTCTGGATGAGCAACGTCGAATTCAGAGAATTTTCCTATCTTCGCCACAGTGAGTCTTTCGCAGCCTTTTCAATGCCTCGTGCTGCACAGGCTTCCATGGGACTTCCAGGGCAGATCCTTGGAAGAACTCTCCTCCAGCATTTCCGTACTGGCAAGATAGAGTGAGGGGGGGGGGTGGAACGCCATTCTGAACAAGCGCTTGCTAGGCCTTTCCCCCATAGTGACTCAGCTCTTCGAATTGTGGCAGCACTATCTCATCGTCGCCAATGTTCTGTTTTCTGTTTGGTTCAGCATTGAAGAGGTAGCAATAGAAACAAGTACTTCTTTATTGAAGGTCAAAACAGAAACGAACAAGCATTGCTCCACCCCTACTTATACATTCAGCTTTGGGCGGCATCAGCCAATGAGAGTGCAGTATTCTCCCGCTCAAATGCATACTAATTGATCTTGCAGACAGCAAGTCTGGCTGGCAGGCCACGTGGTCTGCTAACCATTCCTGCACAGCTCTCAGTAACCTGTTTCATAAATTCAACTCAATACATTATATCTTCCTTCAGCATTTTCCCTTTTCCAGTATCTTTCTCTGGCATTACTTTATGGACATATCCTGACAGAAAGGAAGACAATCACTGTAGAAAAGTATCCCTAGGGGTGTATCTGTAACATTTCACAAACATGTTTTTGTCCAGCTGCCCCCTGTACATGGAAGTTCAGAAGTTCCAGAAGAAAAAAAATTCCACCCACAGTAATGATCATATTCCCAGTCTTTGAGACCTCTTCTGCTATTTCTCCAGTGACTGCCTTTGATAGCAACATGGAATGGCTTTTGCATCAGAAAAACGTCAAAGCCTCTACTCATGCTGAATGTTTTGCACAAGATTTAAGACACAGGCAGAGGCTGTGCTATTGAGTGCACTCTTCTCTCCTTTTCAGATGAAGCTCAGTTTGTTTCTGTTTGAATGATAAAAGCCACTGGGTATTCCATTTTCTGAGAGTGCTTTGAATTAACCTAACTCTTTTTTGGAAACAGGAGATTGATTCAGCCCCATGAATCATGGGCCTGTTGCTTCTGCTTTTGATATTGCTAATGTCTCAGCCAGTCTCTGTGAAGCTTAGAATGAAGTGCTCACTGAATTTGGAACACTTGAATAGAAAAAGACCATGGAGCTATTACGGGCGAGGAGACCATCTCATTAGTATAGTCACCAGTGCAGACACACTAGCACGCAGGATGTTGACTTTTGAAGTGCCTCCTTATAGTCAGTTTCACTAGTAAGTTATTCAGCATTATGGAATTGTATTCCTTCCATCTGCTGTTGTAACATTCTTTTCTTCTTATTCCACTTATTCTTATATTTCAAGAACTGACTAATTTTGTTAATCAATCTCTTTTGTCTTATTTTATGGAAGAGACACAAATGAAAAGTCATGGCAGGAAAAAATACCTGAAAGAAGTCCAAGTTATTTCCTCTCCACATCCAATCCAGAATTCATGACTTGAATACTTTTGTTTAAAGTACTGATTGTTGTAGCTAACCCTGACCAGTTCATTTGGATAATTTTATTTCTCTCATTGGTGTTCAATGCCTGGTCCTTACAGGAATAGAAGATGACTTGTTTTGGAATGGCATTTCTCTATGAGATATCTGCTTTCTTTTATGATGGTTCTACTTTAACAATTGAATTATTTTGCAGACTGGGTACTGGGCTGATGAAAATTAGTACAGTTATAAATAATAATGTTTATTATTCTTGACCCTGGTGGAGGAATATCTCCTTCTCATTTTCTCAACAGTCACAAATATTAAATATTGATGGGTGACTATCATTTGCCTTTTTTTTGGATTAGCATTGGCTTCAGATTCAATGGTCATGTGTTGATAAAGTGGATGAAATTGAAAAAAAGGTATTTTATTATTGCTGTTGATTATGCAGGGCATTTTTTTTTACATAGTGAACCTTATGGAAATAAAGGAATACAACGCTTTATTTACTTCTTTCAAGTGGTCAACAAAAACAGGAAGCTCCTGCAGAATCTCACACTTGGCTACAACATACATGAGAACTATTTGACCACACTTGGCACTTCAGATGCCTTGCTGGACATGCTCTCTATTGGAGAAGCCAATGTTCCCAACTACAGCTGTGGAAGGAAGGACAACATTTTGACTCTTGTTGATGCAGCTGACAGGACAATCTCCATCCAGATGTCAACATTAGTAGGCACCTACAAAGTTGCGCAGGTTTGTGTTTTTTTCCCCTACCTGATGAGGGATGGTAGTGGGTGCTTGATGGCTCCAACTATATCTTCTCTAAGGAATTTAAGAGTTGGTTTTCACTGTTTCCATTGAAGGTTTCATGGCTGGGGATTGGGTTACACATTAGAGTGGGAAAATGGATTAAAGCAGTGATATACTCTTATGACACTATCCCTATTGCTTTGGGGGTTTCTGCTGCACAATTGTGAAGGTGAGGAGAGGCTCTCGGTTCAATCAAAGGATCATACAATATGAGTTCCTCAATGGAACTATATCAACATGGAGGGAGGCATGCAGTGAGGTACCCCACGCTTCTGTCTTAGGCTCAGTGCTTTTTAACACCTTCAAAAATGATCTAGATGAGGGGAAAGAAGGGGAACTCATGAATTTTTCAGATAAGACCAAGCTGGGACAAACAAATCACATTTGTGGAGATTAATTCAAGTTTCAGAAGGATCTTGACAGACTTCAGCCCTGGGCCCAATCCAACAAAAGGCACTTCAGTTGTGAGAAAAGTAAGGTCATACACTTAGGTAAGAAAAACTAAATACACAGTTATAGAATAGATAGTACTAAGGCAGACATTGGCTGCATCAACAGAGGGATGATATCAAAATCGATAAAGGTGATTATTTGTAGCTAAAGGTTGAAATGACGGGTCCTAGATGCTTTCTAGCTTAATTGTTTTCTTACAGATATTTTATTACCAGAACTTGGTAACATCATCAATGCTAGTAAGAAATGAGATTTCCTCTCAATCAGTGGTGGTATTCAGCTGGTTTGCACCAGTTTGAAAGAAACGGTATCTAATTTTTTGTTGCCCAGCCCAGAACAGACTTCCGGAAGTGGCATCCACCCAGAGAACTGGTTGTTCACATATTTGAATCCCACCACTGCTCTCAATTTATGTTCCAGTGACACTAGTGGCACAGATGATATTACTGGGTAATAAAAAGTTTGCAAGAAAACAACCGAGCTCAGAGAGCACCAAGGAATCATAACGTGAAAGTTATACTTATATTACACTAGTGAGGCCACTCTTGGATTATTGCTCCCAGTTCTGCTCACCATGATACAAAAAGGATACTGAGACCCTAGAAAGAGTACACAGAAGAACAACAAAATGCTAAGGGGTGTAGAGGCTAAAATGTACAATGATTGATTAGGGAAACTAGTTATGTCCAGTCTAATGAAGGGAAGCACTAGGGGTGACATGATAGCTGTTTTCCAATACTAGAGAAGAGGAGCTTGACTTATTTTCCAAAGAACCTGTGGGCAGGACAAGAAGTAATGGGTGGAAGCTCATTGAAGAGAGATTCAAATCGAACTAAGGACAAATTTCCTGACTTTGAGAACAATTGACCAGTGGAACTGTTTGCCTCATGAAACTGTTGGCGCTCTGTCACTGAAGGTTTTCAAAAGGAGATTGGACAGCCATTTTTCCAGAATGGTATAAGGTCTCCCGCTTAATCAGGACATTGGACTGGAAGCCCTCTAAGTTCCCTTCCATCCCTGAGATTCTATGAGTTGATTCATCATTGACTTTTTCTTGAA